CTGCATGGGATATCCTTGCATCAACCTATGGAAGATCAAGTAAAGGCCACATCAAACATATAAAAGAACAACTCCGGAGGCACACCAAAGGCAGCAAAAGCATTGATGAGTACATGCACTTTTTCAAAGTTAAAGGTGATGAACTTGCACTCCTTGGAAAACCCCTAGATCATGAGGATCTAATTGACTTAATCCTTGCTGGCCTTGGAGAGGAGTACAAACCCCTTAAAGACGTGATCAATGCCAAAGACAGCACCATATCCTTCGTTGAGTTACATGAGAAACTCATCAGTGCTGAGGTTGACATCATTGCTCCGCCTACCGACCCTACGGAGATCCCGATTACTGCCAATGCCGTGCAACACAAGTCTCGTCGAGGCAACTCGAGATTCAATCCCTCCGATAGCCGATCTTCGAGATCTTCCTCCACTCTCCCTAGAGGCTATCAAGGGAAATGTCAGCTATGTGGTACACAAGGCCACAGTGCACGCTCTTGCCGCATGCTACGCTCCCCTCAAGGGTATTCTCCACAGTTCAATGCTCGGCAGTCATCTCCACCACAGCATCATCAATCTTGGCAGCCTTCGGTGCAACATGCATCTGTGTCCTCTCCCTCATGGCTCATGGACTCAGGAGCATCACATCATATAACCACCGACCTCAGCAACCTCTCTCTCCATGCACCTTACAATGGTGGCGACGAAGTCATTATTGGTGATGGTTCCGGACTTGCGATCACACATACGGGTTCTATGTTTCTCCATTCTCCTACTCGCTCCCTTGTCCTAAACAATGTTTTACATGTTCCTAATATCCACAAAAATCTCATCTCTATTCATCAACTTTGCTCTTCTAACCTTATTTCCGTTGAATTCTTTTCCGACCATTTTCAGGTGAAGGATCGAAAAACGGGGGCAATGTTGGTTCGAGGGCTGCTTAAAAACGGCGTGTACGAGTGGCCAAATCACCCTACAAAACCCTTCGAGTGTTCGCCCATTCCTCTAGCTTTAGCAACCGTCAAAACTTCTCTCTCACAATGGCATCATAGGTTAGGACATCCGTCCAATGCCATTCTCAATAAAATAGTATCGAGTCTGTCTCTACCTCCCTCTTCCTCTAGTCTCTCTTTGTCATGTGATTCGTGTTTTATCAATAAAAGCCACAAGTTATCATTTTCTATATCTAGTGTTTCTTCTTCTCGACCGCTTGAAGCTATTTTTTCGGATGTTTGGACATCACCCATAACATCCATTGATGGCTTCAAATATTACATCATTTTTGTTGATCACCACACTAGATACACTTGGCTATACCCTCTTCGAAAGAAATCCGATGTTGTCCAAGTTTTTCCCAAGTTCAAAGCCTTAGTCGAAAACCGATTTCAAACACGAATCATAAATCTTTATTCCGACAATGGAGGAGAATACATAGCCCTCAAAACCTTTTTATCAACTCATGGCATTTTCCATTACACTACCCCGCCTCATACACCCGAACACAATGGCATATCCGAACGGAAACACCGTCATGTGGTCGAAACCGCCCTAACCCTCCTCACTCACGCATCCATGCCCTTAAGCTATTGGACCTTCGTTATTCCTACGGCTGTCTATCTTATCAATAGAATGCCGACTTTAGTTCTTAATCACTCCTCTCCCTTTGAGTCTCTCTTTGGTTCCAAGCCAAACTACAAAAAGCTTAGAACTTTTGGTTGCCTTTGCTTCCCTTGGCTAAGACCATATTCAAAACACAAACTCCAACCTCGTTCCAAACCATGTGTCTTTGTCGGATATTCACTCACACAAAGTGCATATCTATGCTTAGATGTCTCTTCTCCTAGGCTGTACGTTTCTCGTCATGTGGAATTCGTCGAATCCGAATTCCCATTCCCTCGTCTCACTCACATTGCTCCTTTACTCTCCTCGTCTCATAATATCGTCTCATCTCCTCAATCCTCTGAGCCATCTCTTGTCAAGCCTTGGTCACCGTACACGACGCCTGCAACAA